AAAATTTCTGTGCTTTGCCTTTGGCTTTTTTGTATTGAAAATTTGACAATTTAATAATTGCACTCGTTGACATACTTCAAAAGTCGGGGGCTTAACTCGAGCAACAACTTTTTTGTCAAACTTCGAGTTAAGCCCCGGGGCTTAACTCCAATGACCCAAATCATGTTTCGTTCTTCGAGTTAAGCCCTTTTGGAAAAAGGGCGTGGTCATGGCAAAACAGGGCGTGGCCGGGGCTTAACTCGAAAAGGGCTTAACTCGAGGGGCTTAACTCGAAGGGCTTAACTCGAAGATTCCCGACCTCTACTGTGTGTCCCTAATTGACTTGTGTGGCCGCCGGCTTTTGCCTGGTGGTTCCCGAAGTAGTTGTGCCATTGTATAGGAATTGGTCAATTTTACTGGAAAATTTGAAACAATTCCATACTGTGGAAATTCTACGGAAATGATATGGAAAGAGTTAGAAATTCAATTTCCAATCTTTTGCACACTAACATGGTATGGAAATTTTTTTTGAATATGCGTGGGAAATTTGTAGAAAACCTAAATCTATCCAAACCATGGAAACTTTTCAAATTTTACACACGCACAAATAAGTCGTGACAACGAAAACTTGTCAAAGAAAACTAAGCTTTTTTGGTACACCGCAAACCTGAAACGGTTTGTGATGGGCTTATACATGGGGTAGCTTATACATGGGGTAGCTTGATAAACAAGTGGGGTTATATTTGGGTGGGCTTATATTTAGGTGGGCTTATATTTGAGTGAGCTTATATTCGGGGGGCTTATATTTGGATTGGTGTGAACGTTAGTGTGACGGGCTTATAGACGGGGCGGGGCGCTTATTTTCGGGGGGACTTATAATCGGAGGTTTACAGCATATTTGTATGTAGCTTCGTTTTTCTGATATTTAGACAAGTGTTCCGAATCCTTACAGTTGCATAGTATAATAAAATATAATCATTACATGTATTTTAAAATCGATAATTATACATTATTTACATCATAGCATAGTTTTCCTTTGTTGTACAGTATTTTCGCTATTAAATTTTGTGGGTTATTAATTGATTGATTTACCTGTTTTATCAGTAATATATAGTACCTTAGTCCTTACTGTCACTGAAGGTTTATTTCTTCAATGGCCTTGTACTGCATTACATTCTCAAATCATTAATAATTCACGAGCAAAACACAAAAAAGCTAACACCGTGCCGTTGCCTTGATAACAGAGAGGTTAAGATACCCAAACCGGGTACGGGTGATATACAGGTACCCGTACTCGTAAATCGGGGAACGACTTGTAACTCAAGAAATCCAACATATTCCGCCGTGAGAAAACCAATGAGAGAATGGTAACTTTCGCTGTTGAGGTTCGCCATAGATTGTTGAAAACTTTGACGAGCATATGTACGAGCATATGTAAGATGTTGAAGTTTTTTACTATTTAAACGGTCCACAAATAGTAAACAGAAAACACCCGTACCCGTTTGTCTTTTACGTGTAGACCATGGTTTAACGCGAGGAAACGGGTAGAAATTACGGGTAAAAATGCTGACATCAGCAAAAATCAGTAAACAAAATGGCGATACTCGTACCCGTAAACCGGAATCGGGGTATCTTAAACTCTCTATTAGAGAGTGTACGGGTACGAGTAGTGTCATTTTGTTTTACTGATGTCTGTAATTCGATCATACTTTTTCTGTTTTCTTGCAATAGACAATGATATATTGCGAAAAATGTACACCTTAATTACGAGTAAAGGTACAGACATCGACGAAAATATTGCTAACCAAAATCATGATACACGTACACCGAAACCGGGGTATCTTAACCTCTTTATATCTCATTTGTGTCGGTTTTCTTTGATCGTCCGAGGTTTATAACTAGCTAATATACCTTGAATAAATAATTACATCAAACTTTTCGACAAAACGCGAGAATTTTTCATCAAAAATTTTTGAAAATGACAAAATATGTTAGAAAACCTCTACAAATGAGATACAAGTTAGTTATAAACCTCGAAAGTCGGTTTATAACTCTAACTTACTATACGGTAATAATTAAACGTCCATATAAATTAACTTAACTATCTCCTTGAATTTTTCTTTAAATACAAGTCTGTTTGAGAAATAATATAACCAACTCAAAAGCTGTTTATTACCGGCGTATAAAACGCCTCAAAGTATGTGGGAAAAACTCTGCTAACGCTTCGCTTTTATTAACACGCTTTTCAGTATATTATAAGCCGGTAATTAGAGATGTTAAGATTGACGTTTATGGCAGACCGGTAACCTCAAGTCGTAGTTTGAGGTCAACTGTAAGCTGTTCGAAGTTAGGACAATTTGTGCATTAAAATTGAAGAATGATTGACTAAAAACCTGTCGAAAACTTCGGAAACTTACCTTCAAATGCGAATTGAAGTTTGGCGTTTGCGGTTACCGGTCTTCTGTAAAGCCCACTAACTGGGAAACTCACGTGGGTGAGATCTCCATTACAAAATGTTTCGAAGACGCCAAGTTTGCATAATGTCGTCCCGCAAATGCGGGTTATTAGAAGGGATAGAAAGAATCATATGAACAGAGAAATAATTCATATCACTCAATTGAGCTTCTCAGCAACCCAAGCTCATATGAACAGGCCCTAATAGATTTTGTTTACAAACCGTCGGACGACATTTTCATGTATATTTTTTAAAGATAATTTCTCTATAAATCAGTATCTCAGTGAATTTGGTCGCTCGCGCTCGTGCTCGCGTTTCGTTCGAGGTCGACTTGTGGCAAGTCTACTCAGTGTGGTGTGGGTCTGTTTATAGTCGCTGAATGCTGGGGTCTTGTATCGTCATCTTGAACACGGACACCTGCTCTGCAGTCCCTTCGGTCAGGGGCGTACCCAGCCCCAAACAAGTGGGAGTCCAATCGTCAAATACACAGAACAACTAGGAGGTCCGGCTGTTTAGGGGCATGGTTCTCCGGGAAACTGTTCTATTTTTAGGGTCCGTGAAATGCTATTGCATGCATTTTAGACCGAGTTACAAAATTGGTCTTGGAGGAGTCCGGATCCCCATGGCTACCCCCCTTGCCTTCGTGTCCTCATTTTGGAAGTTCAATTTTATGATGATTGCTTTCATAATTCTGATTTCAGCGGCAAAAGATGATCGTATTTCAACGACCAGTATTGGTGATGGTGGCAATGAACTGGGAATGGGGAAAGTCAAAAATGAGGTGGAAAAATATGTTGAACATGGTGAAGAAATTGCATGTGTGGTATCTTGTGATTATCTTATCACAGCAGGAGTGTCGAACTGGGGTGGATACGCCATTGCTGTAGGCTTGCATGTGTTGTCCACGTGTCCAATTCATGTGAGGTACGTGCGGCGGGGTCTGGCAAAGGTCGAAGAAGAAGAGAAAGGGAAAGAAGGATTTTTGAATAGTGTGGAACAGGTACGAGTTGAAAACATGATTTCTTAAACCTAACATAAAAAATTTTAGATATAATTCTTTGTTCGCAATGACTTACTTTTTGGATGTCAGTTGACGGGCACAAAAACCGGCTATTTTAATGTATTCATCGAGTTTAGAGACAGTTTAAGACTCAAAAGATGAATTACCATTCAGTTTTTCTTGCTACAACCATTCTGATAGGTGGAAAATCGTCCACAAGTTGTGAAATAGCCCGTCATTTGGATGAAAAGTTACGTGATTGCAAACAAAGAATTATGTCGACTCTATAAGAGCATACATGCGTTTGTTAAAGTCGAAATCACAACATAGGAGCCCAAACCTATTCTAAGAGGACATAGAACACAATTTCCATAGAACCACGTTATCTAAAATGTAGTCATAACGAAATTGTGAGCATATTGCCCACGGCTTACTTGCCGACATTTTTCATCAAATTTCTTCCATTTCAATCCCTTAGAGTATGTTATCACTCTCGTTACCTGGGGCTTTTGCGCTTGTAGTGAAGCGCAGAAACCCTGGGTACGAGGTTGCATGTCATGTGAAGAGACTCATATTAGGGACCTTAAGCAAACAGGACGGCAACGCGACGACGACGGCTATTCACACAATGATATTCCTGATCTCGTACAAGAGAAATGAATAATTAAAAGCCCCACGGGAGTTAGAGGCGTTGTGTTAGGGGTTTTTACAACGGCAAACCAGAGATTTTCGCGTCTCGTGTACAACGCACTCATGTCAAGACGCGACAAGTGAAACTACAAATTTGCTCAGCAAAAGCGTTTTTAACCATAAAGCCTTTGTTTTAATCTCTTCAAACTGAACTAAATTCATATATACATGCAGTGGATAATACACAACAACTCTTCTTCGCAATAATTTATTTGAAGATGTTTGTTTTGGCTGTCGTCGCGTTGCCGTCGTGGAGCCAAGATGGAAATCCAGCTTAATTTATGTTAATATTTCAGGAAGCGGAAATTTTGCAAATGATTGCAGATGAAGGAGTTCGCGATGGCAGAACTGGAAAGGCTGAACAATCTGTTGATGGTTTTCAATTTTATCCTTATCATGCCGAACAAATCAAGAAATTTCAAGCTGTTTTAAAGGGCAACATTTGATGTCATGGCTGTGATAATTATAGAATGGAGCTAGTGTAAGGTAACCAAGGGTTCAACACTTCGAGAATTGCTAAACGGTATGGAGTTCAGCGACCAAGCCCTCCAGTTTAATTTAAGTATATAGATTACTGGCGAGACTCTTCAGTTATATATTGAGTTCAGTGGCATGCACGTTACACTGGATCTTACTCATTGAAATGAATATAACTGGAACGCTACCTTCAGATAAACTGCCTATCTTTTTCTTGAAGCCAAATTTGACCGATACGCGTGTTTATATCATGATTGACTAATTGAGCGCTCTTCGCATGCGTGAAAAGTAGGACTGGCTTTCAACTTTGGCTTCAAATTTCGGTTGATAGGTAGCGTGCCAGTGATATTCATTTCAATGAGGGGGGGGGGGCTTTTTAATTGCCTCCCCCTATCTATTCCAAACTTCCAGACATGTGGCTTATTGCAGTGCTGGAAAAAGTCCGGCAGCACCAGGAAAGTTTTAACAAAATATTTTCGCAGGAAATCTTCTTACACCTTGCAGAAAATTTTTGTCATCTTATATAATGGATTGCCATATAATTTACTTATTGTTTAAAAATTCCTAAAGCATTTTGCAAGTCAAGATTGTCTTGTGCCGCCGAGATCGAAGTTTATCATAACGTGCGGCACCATACGTTCTCTGAAATCTACGATGCAGAAGTTTTATATTTGACTTACACAGGAAATTTTTATTTTTGTTTTTTTGCTGGCAGGAAGAGAATTATATTTTCTAGGCCTGGCTTATTCTATACGTAAACGGGTCACCAGCCTTAATTAATTGGCTCAGGTTCGAAGTGAATCAAATTTCAAGTCACAATTTTGGATATGAAACATTATTATTTTCTGCAAGAAACTCGCATTTCATTATGTCATTTCAAAAATTGGCGCAGTGCCAGTTGTATGAAAAGATTCCTTCCATTTGGAGCCCATGTTCAATCGATCCTAGACTTTCCAAAGTCCTTTCCAGACCCTTCTATGGCGACTTGTGGCAAGTCTAAATCGATCCTTGTAAAGTTTCACAATTTTCTTGTTGAGCAAGAACGCTATGCCAATGTTAACCTGAGTATCAGGCCCTTATGTTTTCATTCGCCAGGATTAATTGGCGCGGCGAATGAAGGAGGGCCTGATACAATTCTTTACCGCGGCGCATGTAAAAAGCCAGATTCTGGCTTTTTCGTCTGATTGGCCGATTAGACAAACGATTTTTTAAATCTGTCATTTGATTGGCTGGTGCTAATTAGATTATAC